CACCCACCCACCATATACAAGACTAATAATTTATTTTTGAGTTATTATGCAATCACCTCTACATACAATATGTGAGCACAAATCACGCCAAAAATATTTTGTATAATAAAATTAAAATACGTTATAGTAGGTGTCTGACTTAGTGTATAATTTGTTTTTTCTGGTTCTAAGATGACAATGCCCCCTTCCAAAAGGAGTATTTCTGGGGGGCAAGGGGGGGGGACTTTCAGTGGCAAAGGTCAGGGAGTGAGGGGTGGCAGGTGTCAAACATTTGACATGCTTGTTGGTATGTTAATTTCTAGGCTTACTTTCAGCTATAATTATGATCTTCAGTAAGCAGCTTTCCACTAGGCAACAGTGAAAGAATTTAGGGAACTTTAATCTCTCTAATGCCACAAGCAGGCCTCAGCAGCTACGCACCTACATGTGCCTTAGGTATTTTGCCTAAGAAAGGTTTTCCTCCCTAAGAAAACATGAATCTTTTCTACATATTCTAAAAGTAGCTTCCCACTGATTATAAATGGTCTCCAAGGTCTTCTGCTGGAGTTGTCTGGGTTTCTCCGTAGGGTTTTCCTTTGAGCTTCTTACTAATCCTTATTCTAGATCAGCTTCCATTCTTAGATTTGTAAATCACATGCCACATTGAGGCAGCCTCCTTGCTATTTGTCACTTATTCCACTTGCAGATACAATACTAAAATTCTTGAAATGGTCTATTTTAACCGTGCTGATTTATTAGTAAAATGAAAGCTTTCTGGAGAAGTTATTGTAGGAAATATTTACTTCATTGCTTCTGATAAAAGAGGAAGAGAATGGAAGGAAGGATTCTTTCCCATTACAAATTTAATTATTATTCTGCTGCTTCTTGGTTTGTAACACTTTTGTCTCTTTCCTCATACACTTCACTTTTGTGGTGACGCCACCACCATCCTTTTCTGTTCCTATGGGCTCTGAGACAACTTGCTGAAGCTGCTTTAGGATTTGGCTGGTAGCCCAGGTTCTCAGTAATCTCCTTCTTTAGATTTTTCTTTTTGAGGGAGACTTATTTCTCTCAGAACTCCACTCTGGGTACTGAGTATTTTTGCTCTCAAGTGCTTTGGGTGCTTGTCCGGACTTTATTCCCATTACCCAGTTTAGCCTGTGTACTAAAGATGAAGCAATTACAAGAAGCAGAAAATAAATGCTTTCTTGGGAATCAGCTGGAAATGAAAAAAATAGCTCTTTAAGAGTTAAAAGTGCCTGCCAGCACAATTATAGTCCCCGTGGAATCAAATGACTCAGCAAAGAAAGATTTTGATATCAGCAACTGCTTTAGGGGCCTTAGATGACAAAGATGCAAATCATATTGACTTCTATACAGAGAAACCTAAGATGGAACCTGTAAAAGCTGGAAACCTACTCAAGCAGGGACATTTCCATGGTTCTGGTATGCCTTATGGGAAGTATAGATACTTAAGTCTGCATAAGCTAGAAACTAAAGCAAAAACAGAAATGAAATTTGGTGTCCATTTGTAGAATCATTGTGTAAATCATGGAAAGTAATCATCCATTTGTGTGTGTGCACGTGTATGCACTGGGATTGGGCTGGGATGCCGGGACAGAGAAAGAAACTATGGAGGAGAGAGTCTGGGGTTTGACAGAGAACATAAGCAGGTAAGACCCCACAGCCTGAGCTACTGCCCTCTTTCTTTATCCACTAATACGATGGCATGCCCAGTTGTTTTTTGCTATGTTGGCTCATAGAAATAGTCAATCTTTTGGTATCAAGAAGTCCTTCTGTAAGGACAAAGCTTTGAGCACATTTTAAGGCATTCGTATGCATCAGTGAAAAACACTGAACCTAGGGAATCTTGATATTTGGAAGTTAACAGGAACATTGCATCAGAGACTATATTTTGTCATGATGAAGAAGCAGTCACTTTCTCCTTGCACCAATCAAGACATTTAAATCAAAATAAGGAAAGCATTCCTATTCTTAAAGCTCTTCTGTTCTGCACTGCTGAAGAATTTCATAGTCATAGAAAATGAGGGATGAAAGGAATCTCATAAGGTTACCTAGTCCAACCCCTTGCACAAAGCAGGACCACCCTCAATAATACCATCCCAGTGAAGGCTTTGTCT